ATTATACAGTCTATACTGTAATAACATCACACAGTCTATACTGTGGTAACATCACACAGTCTATACTGTTGTAACACATCACACAGTCTATACTCTGGTAACATCACACAGTCTATACTCTGGTTACATCACACAGTCTATACTGTGGTAACATCACACAGTCTATACTGTGGTAACATCACAGAGTCTATACTGTGGTAACATCACACAGTCTATACTGTGGTAACATCCCACAGTCTATACTGTGGTAACATCACACAGTCTATACTGTGGTTACATCACACAGTCTACACTGTGGTAACATCACACAGTCTATACTGTGGTAACACATCACATAGTCTATACTGTAGTAACATCACACAGTCCATACTGTGGTAACACATCACACAGTCTATACTGTGGTAACATCACATAGTCTACACTGTGGTTACATCACACAGTCTATACTGTGGTTACATCACACAGTCTATACTGTGGTTACATCACACAGTCTATACTGTGGTAACATCACATAGTCTGTACTGTGGTAACATCACACTGTCTGTACTGTGGTAACATCACACAGTCTATACTGTTGTAACACATCACACAGTCTATACTGTGGTAACATCACACAGTCTATACTGTGGGAACACATCACACAGTCTATACTGTGGTTACATCACACAGTCTACACTGTGGTAACATCACACAGTCTATACTGTGGTAACACATCACACAGTCTATACTGTGGTAACATCACACAGTCTCTACTGTGGTAACACATCACACAGTCTATACTGTGGTAACGTCACACAGTCTATACTGTGGTAACATCACACAGTCTATACTGTGGTAACATCACACAGTCTATACTGTGGTAACATCACACGGTCTATACTGTGGTAACATCACACAGTCTGTACTGTGGTAACATCACACAGTCTGTACTGTGGTAACGTCACACAGTCTATACTGTGGTAACATCACACAGTCTATACTGTGGTAACGTCACACAGTCTATACTGTGGTAACNTTATACACACAGAGATCGATTACACACACTATACACACAGAGATCGATTATACACACAGAGATCGATTATACACACTATACACACAGAGATCGATTCTACACACAGAGATCGATTATGCACAGAAAGATAGATTATACACACAGAGATAGATTATGCACAAAGAGAACTCGATTATACACACATATATCGATTATACACACAGAGATCGATTATACATACAGAGATCGGTTATACACACAGAGATCGATTATACATACAGAGATCGATTATACACACAATACCCACAGATGGATTATACACACAGAGATCTATTATACACACATATATCGGTTATACAGACAGAGATCGATTATACATACAGAGATCGATTATACACAAAATACCCACAGAGATCGATTATACACATTATACACTCAGAGATCTATTATACACACAGAGATCTATTATACACACAGAGATCGATTCTACACACAGAGATGGATTATACACACAGAGATCTATTATACACACATAGATGGATTATACACACAATACCCACAGAGATCGATTATACACACAATATACACAAATGGATTATACACACAGAGATCTATTATACACACAGAGATCGATTATACACACAGAGATGGATTATACACACAAAGCTCGATTATACACACAGAGATCGATTCTACACTCAGAGCTCGATTATACACACAATACCCACAGAGATCGACTATACACACAGATATCGATTATACACACAGAGATCGATTATACATACAGAGATGAATTATACACACAGAGATAGATTATACACAGATAGATCGATTATACCCCCAGAGATCGATTATACACACAGAGATCTATTATACACACAGAGATGGATTCTACACACAGAGATCGATTCTACACACAGATATGGATTATACACTCAGAGATCGATTATACACTCAGAGCTCGATTATGCACACAGAGACAATGGGGTATGTCCAACAGGTACATCATAAATTTGCAGACAAATCGTGGAAAGGAACATCTAAAGGTCGTCCTGTATGTACGTGTACATACAATGGTTAAGGGGTGACTTATTCCGTCTTTTCGTGTTGCAGAGTTATCTGCTCTTGTGAGCAGGTATTAGTAATGTCATATTTATTTAGAAAACGATGTAATTTTCTCACACAAACTATTGACGTAACAATCAATACCTTTTCACAAGAGCAGATAACTCTGCAATAAGAAAATAGGTTTATCGTCCAGTGAATTTGAGCAGAGTGAAACAGTCACAACGACGGGAATGAAAGCAACGAAGCAGAGGATACACCAAACAAATGTGACGATACCATTATCCGACTTGAAACCAGGCCGGTGCTTCAGAATTTTATAAATACTGATTGAAACATTATACACTGATTGACAGAATTTATCCAAGTTTATTTCCGGAAGTATGTGTAATTTGTTTTCATGCTTTCATATACAATTTGTAAATCATGGAAAAATAAAACTAACACCAAGCTAAACAAAAAAAACAATTTTATTTTCAATACATATTTTGATTTTTTCATTCATAAGTTCACGGACATAATGTACATTTAACGAAACATCATTTCATGACGTGTTTTCAAACTCGTAAATCGTACCACCACTAATTCTGTTGCTTTATTATACAGCGAGTGTATTTTGTGATAAATTGCCCCAATAATCGAACGATTTATATTTCAGGCATTGCTGGAAACGAAGGTGGCTTGATTTTCAAGATTCTGCTGAATAGATAAGACAACACACTACTTACTGTATATTTCTAAAGAATAATGTGTTCAGTTATAGTTTTGAACTTCAGAATCTAATCAATCCAATTCACTTGGACCAGCCAAATGACTAAAATAATATTAATAGAAACAGATATATTTACTGTAAAAAAAAAGGACATTTTTGCGGTGTGACTCTTAAAACTATTCGATGTGGATACACGTTTGGCGCCTTTGACAAAGTGACTGGTAGTATACGGATACATGTACACGTGCATATTTTCGCATTATCCATCCAGTAAATATACAAAACAAGCAAACATTTCCCTTTTTACAGTATTTAGAATCGAACGTAACATAAAGTCATACACAATCAATTCACATAAATCTCTGTTTGGGTTTTAACATCTTCGCAAAAGCTTACTGATGTCACATGACGAGTTATCACAGACACTACGGCACCAAACAGACGATGACGCTGCCAGAAATGATGAATCCCACCATTAAGTCAAGATCATGGGACTAGTGTCAACTGATTGTATGTACGCTCACCATCCGTGTATAAAGCATCATCACTCTAAAATGTCGCAACTTAGACACGGTAGCATGGCAAGCAATCTGGTCACACTACTCAGACAATTGGCTTATCACGGAACCAAAGCAGATATAATAAAAAAGACAATAGTATATCGGGAGTAAAAGAACAACCAACATCCCAAGTGTTGAAATTGGGGAATTTGAGGGGGTCTAATTCCGTCTTTTCGTTGTCATGGAGATTACAGAAGCAATTTCCCGATCTGCAATGCTCAGTATAAGATGAGTCTATTATGGGTATGTTGTGAGATAGGACAGAGATATTGTCTCCAAACAGCAGGAGATAACAAGATTCGTAAAGCCCAAAAGATGCATTTAGTATGTGATTCCCGTGTAGGTAAATAAACAAATAAATACAGGTTTGTTTTCCATATAACAACAGCGTTCTGCTTCAAATACATTTAAGTCATATTTAAGCATATCTCTGGCACTGGGACGTCACACTGTCTAAAGAAAATGTCAAATGGCAGCTTCTGACGATGATCAGAGAGAACAATCGTTGTGTAAAGAAACTACAAACATTGTAGATCTTGTTTAAATTATAGAAACTGTTTTTAATAAGTTTCTATTTCATATGAAATTTATGAAACTCGCCTCAAAGATTTGATTTTAACGTTCGGTAGAGTCTCATTAAAATAAATTTCAATCTGATAAAAGTTTCTTTAAGAGGCCGTTCATGCTTATAACATAACGTTTAAATGACTTACAAAGCGCGGGAGTCTCTAATGGGTTCACTATAAAATACAAACTAACACTGATAAAAGGATACACAATATAATGTTAAATTTCCGCGAATAACAATTAAAAACATCTTTAAAATAAAATAACATAATGAATTAACAGATAAATGAACATTTTATGAAACCATGTGACCTCAATTATAGACCCTATATATATATATATATATATATATTTCACACACAACGAGAAAATTTGGAATATTCAAAGTTCACAAGTGCACCTACAACTTAAGTGACTTCGAAGCAAAATTAAAAAAAAACAACGAATACATATAAAAAAAGGAAATAATATCCATTGATATAACAAAACATAAATATGAAAAACATGTATTGGCAAATGCTATTAAAACATGAAAGGGGAAAAACGAAATGGACAAATGGCTGGGGATGTAGAAATTCTTGTTAGTAAATCGCTAACCAATCGCCCTGTCAATAAGTGCCGGAAGTGTCAGTATGGATATATGAAATGATTAATTTGAGTAAGAAAATAGGAAAGCGGAGAGAAATAAGTTTGTATCTTGTAACTGTTATATATTTCTTTACTCCTTAGTCACAACCAAATTGACTTATTTCACAGTGTTTAATTAAATTGTGCAGTGTGACGTCACGACGGTGTTTGACGTCATACTTGTATCATGATATCAGGTCTAATATAAAATATCTCAGGAGAAGACGAGCTATGCATTTGGTACAGAATGAAGTTATTTTTTTTGTTATATATTTGTTATCGGATAAACCAGATACTTAACCAGTGATAATTGATTCGATGTCGAGAACTTATGTAGAAAACCCTGTATAACCTACGGAAGTATAATCCTCGAGATTTTGACAGGTTACTCTTTGAAACAAATTAAATACAAACAAAACACATATATTTTATAACTGAAAATGATAATGCATTGTAGAATTGCAATACATTTCAATATATAATTCCAGGATATCGATAGTCCGGTTAGAGTACCTTGTTAGTCCATTCTAATTCTCGAAATGTTTTATTTTCTCACTGATAAGAGACCTGATTTATGATAGTTAACTCTCTTTTTTTCACAAATACTTTAAAGAATATGGTAATGAAAATAAAATAAAGTATTTATATTCAAAATTAATTATAAAACATTTTATGTGAATTCAACTTAATAAAGAATGGCCAGCACAATCAATGTCACTCCGATTTATGCAGATAACTATCCATATCCAAGACCGTGATGGAAATATAACTAGACAAACATTGTATACATCTATGTTCCTTTTTATGGATTTGTTTGACAAAACTGTGTACATACATTCATCGAGGGGTTTTCAGAATCTATTTTTAAATATGTACATGTTCATTAAGGGATTTCCCGACTCTACATATATATATAATCAGTAAGGGGTGTCGTAACTCTATTCTAGATGTATACATATTCATTAAGGGGTGTCGTTACTCTATTCAAAATATATACATATTCATTAAATGGGTGTTGTAATTATATTCTAGATATATACATATTCATTAAGGGGTGTCGTAACTCTATTCTAGATGTATACATATTCATTAAGGGGGGTCGTAATTCTATTCTAGATATATATATATTCATTAAGGGGTGTCGTAACTCTATTCAAAATATATACATATTCATTAAGGGGTGTTGTAACTCTATTCTAGATATATACATATTCATTAAGGGGTGTCGTAACTCTATTCTAGATGTATACATATTCATTAAGGGGGGTCGTTACTCTATTCAAAATATATACATATTCATTAAATGGGTGTTGTAATTATATTCTAGATATATACATATTCATTAAGGGGTGTCGTAACTCTATTCTAGATGTATACATATTCATTAAGGGGGGTCGTTACTCTATTCAAAATATATACATATTCATTAAATGGGTGTTGTAATTATATTCTAGATATATACATATTCATTAAGGGGGGTCGTAACTCTATTCTAGATGTGTACATATTCATTAAGGGGGGTCGTAATTCTATTCTAGATATATATATATATTCATTAAGGGGTGTCGTAACTCTATTCTAGATGTATACATATTCATTAAGGGGGGTCGTTACTCTATTCAAAATATATACATATTCATTAAATGGGTGTTGTAATTATATTCTAGATGTATACATATTCATTAAGGGGTGTCGTAACTCTATTCTAGATATATATATATTCATTAAGGGGGGTCGTTACTCTATTCAAAATATATACATATTCATTAAGGGGTGTTGTAATTCTATTCTAGATATATACATATTCATTAAGGGGGGTCGTAACTCTATTCTAGATGTGTACATATTCATTAAGGGGTGTCGTTACTCTATTCAAAATATATACATATTCATTAAATGGGTGTTGTAATTATATTCTAGATGTATACATATTCATTAAGGGGTGTCGTAACTCTATTCTAGATATATATATATTCATTAAGGGGGGTCGTTACTCTATTCAAAATATATACATATTCATTAAGGGGTGTTGTAATTCTATTCTAGATATATACATATTCATTAAGGGGGGTCGTAACTCTATTCTAGATGTGTACATATTCATTAAGGGGTGTCGTTACTCTATTCAAAATATATACATATTCATTAAATGGGTGTTGTAATTATATTCTAGATGTATACATATTCATTAAGGGGGGTCGTAACTCTATTTTAAATAAATACATATTCATTAAGGGGGGTCGTAATTCTATTCTAGATGTATACATATTCATTAAGGGGTGTCGTAACTCTATTCTAGATGTATACATATTCATTAAGGGGGGTCGTTACTCTATTTTAAATAAATACATATTCATTAAAAGGGTGTCGTAACTCTATTCCAAAATATTAACTCTTTTCTAGATATATACATATTCATTAAGGGTTCTCCTATCTCTTTACTACTGGTATCCAAATGAAACAGCAAACACATTGTCCTTAGGCGCCGTCTTGCTTGTAACAAGTTTTGGTGGTAACCTCTCTTCAAGTTCCTCCGATACTTGGTTCTTTAATTGTAGCTTCAGAACCATACAGCACCCAAAGAACACAAGCATAAACTGAAACAAAACATAGAAATATATAAATATATAAACATAGAAATATATAAAGAAATATTGAAGAGTATTATTTCCTGCTTCATGTGTAATATTAACTAATTTATTTAGTCTATCCTGGCTTTTTGTATTACTTTTACGACAATTTCAAAGAGTGCAATTTCGTTTTTAAATAACTAAATGTATGGCCGAGAACTTCTTTGGAGCATATGTACTTAACAATAAAAAGAACTAAGATGAGATATACCGCGAACTGGTTTACAAATCTTTGGTTAGCTTCATAGTAAGATTTCCAAGTAGGTTACTGGTATATCCATTGTGTGATCATGCCGTGGGTGACCTTTGTTTGTTTGTAAGAGGATAAATTTATCGAAGATATTATCAAGAAAGCTACTAAAGACCTTACAAGGTCCTTCAGTTTCACTTTTAGACTTATCGACGACGTGTCATCTTTAAAAAAAACAATTAGTTATTGAATATCTAGCTGATATTTTCCCTCCTGAATCCGAAATCAATAGCCCCGATTGCTTCGATCTTGACTTCAAACATGACTAGCAGGTACTTCTTGCTGATTGGCTGTAAGATGAAATATTTTCCGATCGCGAATTTACTGTTTCTTGGTAGAAACATCCCTGCTTTTCTCACCCATGGTGTTCACATGTTAAGAAGTTGAGTTGCTATACATTAATTTCCCCCACGTGTTTAGGTGTCTGTAATGGGTATCAGATGCTGACAGACGTAGAACCCTACAGGGTCGCGAGGTTTGAATTGTTTCAAAATCTAAATTTTGTTAATGAAATCTCTTTAGATATATTGTTATCTGGTATTCCGGATCTGTCTTCTCAACAAAATAATAATATTTTCGTAACGTGCAAAAATTCATAAAGACCAGCGGTAGGTTTTAATTCGTAAGGCGTTTTATATTTCTATACTCAATTTGTGATACTGTTCAATGTTGTTCTTTCTCTTTTTGTTTCTGTTGTTGTAATGCTACTTTTATACATATTATTTCATACCCAGTTGTGCCATGTTTGTAAATCTGATGTATATATTTGAGGAAAGGGCGTAAATAATGTTCTAATAACTTGTGCCCAATCCTGTTGTCACTATTTTGGCAATAAAGTATGTTTAAACTAAACTACCTTCGAGATATGCAGGTTGCTGACGACTATCAACAAGCTGGTAGTCGTGATCATCCTCACATTCGGAAATACTCAACTTTTGTGCAATATGTCAATACCTTCGTAATCAATCATAGGTTCGTTATTCCTCATTCAAAACAACGTACAACCACGATAATGGTACAGCTAATCACCACGGAAACTTTACGGTAAACAAACAATATCATCATTAAATTTAAATGTTCATCTTCAGCAAATTAACATTTCAGGTATGTTACAGTATCATTATATTCCTCTTTTTGATTTTTTTTACTGCTGTAATAAATATTTTTGTGTACATTGTATAGCATGAAGTTATCAGTATTTTGATTTTTTTTTTATATATATGAGTGTTTTCGTACTTTTATATGGAGTTATATTGTCCTTTTGATATTTTGAATGTTATTGTTAATGCATTTTCCATTCAATTTCAAAATATGTACGACGATTTTGAATTAATGTCGGTATTTCAATTTTAGTCATTAAAAAATTTGTTTTAGAAATGAAATTTGAAACGGATTTCAAACGAGTCCAGTTTGTCTTTCAACTTTAAAACGTACTATGTACTTGTTTCTGGATCCTTTTCTGTATTTATAACCATGTACTATTGTAATTAAACATCAATAAAATAAAGTTTAAACTAACTTTAAAACGTCATAACGATGATGTTATTATAATATTTCCGGCCATAGTGATTACAAGTTAATTATGTACCTGTAGACCGAGGAGGAATGGACAGTACTGGATATAGCCATTGGTGCCGGCTATCTTGTCATACAACGCGTCCACACAGCCCTGTAAACACATCATTATACATAACATGGTAATCGATACGTTGCATGAACAAAAAAAGCAATTGCATGTAAAAAGTGTTCCTATCGCCTGTAGCTATTATTTTTGGTTACACCTTTGTTGTTCCACAAATGTTTACGACACAGTGCATTGTTAATTTTACTGTTATTATTGGTAAGTCGTATTATGACGTCATAATGACGTCATCATTTTCTGTGTTTTGTTATAGTCCTGTCAACATGAATAACGACATCTCCTGATGAACCTCGAAATAGTTTAATACTAAAAAAACATTTGTGTCAATTCGTTTATAATTATTGATATATACATTATGTATACACATGTATTGTAAATTACAGTTTGTAGATATTGTATTTGTATATATTAGATTATATGTATATCATAGTTGATATTTTATCTATAACTACTATATATCGGGATAACTGTACTTTACATTGTAGATACTGTATTGGTTGTATGTATTTGGCATAGTCTATTATATATATTAGATATAATCGACCAGCTGATTTAATTTGGGTATAATTTTATAAATCTGTTAAACATTGTATACAATTAATATATTGTTAATAATAAAACGGTGTTTGCAATTCCAAATTAAAACCCAACTTTTGTAAAATAATGTGTGAATTGATACATTTTGTTTTACGTATTTGATCAATTGTATACATGTACTATGATGGTGCCGTGTCGTATATGATTTGTTCTTATCTGGTCCTAGTTTCATTTTCTTGTGTCCAAATGACGGGTTTCTTCAAATGTCAGTATTTATTTTTACAGTAAAATAATGCCAAAGAGTAACATTTGTTAATAAAATAATTTCATATATATTCATTGCTCCGCTGAGCTCACCTGTAAAGAAAACAAGAGGCCCATGGGCCTTAACGGTCACCTGAGTCCTACAGTATTTATTTTTGTTGTTGAAATATGTACCAATTTGAGTAAAAAGTAGTTAAGTATAATGTTAACTTAACTTTGTCAGGACCATGAGCTGATCATTCCTAGACCGATTTTAAATAAGATCGGCCTATTAGAAATTGTTTTTAAGTTTAGAATAGGTATTTACAAAATAGCGGCTGTGGTGGCCATATTGGATTTCTGATTGACCTGAAAAATAACAACACTTTGTCAGGACCATGAGTCGATCATTCCTAC